GTGTTTTATATATACACATAATAATCGTTGTTTGGCGTTAAAACACTAACTAATAACATTATTTACATTAAAATGAATGTATGTGATGGTGATAAATATAGTGTTCTACTAAGCCAATACAAGAAAAAGCGTATGTTTTTGAACAGATTTTATAGCATGTTTATGTAGTGTTTTATCTATATTATACAGGGTGTCCCAAAAATAAGCGAAGTATTTTAACTGGTAGTATAGTTCAGCGTCAGAAACACGCCTATGAGGTTTTTTTCGCGAAAAAAATGTTTTGAAAATTCGAAATTTTTTGAAAATTTTTTGAAATTTTTTTTTAGTTTTTAGTTAAAAACAAAATTTCTTATCGATAAATATATTTTTTTTTGGAAATTTTCAAAGTAAAATAACTCCGTTATTTTGGACTTATTTGAAAAGCGATAAAGAGAAAATATGTTTCTTTTATCGAGATCTACCACCCCTTAAAATACTTGCACTTATTTCTGGGACACCCTGTATAAAATATTCATAAGTTTATCCAAACACAAAAAAACATCCAAACATATACTGAGACGTTAAAAATCACCAAGTGTTAAGAAATTACTATTTCCATAAACATTATGATAATCAGATATCCATAATTAAGATACAGAAATCTATAGGCAACATTTTCATTCAAATTATACGTTTACTATATATAGTACTTGCATTTTCCTAATAATATACAATTAATATCAATTAATAAAGTGCCATAATCAGTTATTCAATATTTATAAAATTAGCTTAAGGCTTTATTAACTATTTATTTTATGAATGCGGCGATATATTATTTACCAAGTTCATTACACACCCACAACTATATTGTACGAAGAAATAAATAAAAATTTGTTTCATGGGGTTTTCAGCAAATTGAGATGTTGTCATGTTTTGAAAAAGTTTTAAAGCTTATTATTATTATTTAAATGAGCAGGCTGTATTCAACGAAGATGTAATGTTAGTTAATGTAATTTAACGTTAGTCATTAACAAATTTTTGTTTCAAAAATTATAAAAAACAGGAAATAGAATCAAACTATATTATATCACAAGGTCAATTCATAATCTACTTATATTACTTATATTTAGTAGATATCAACGCTACTTAACAATTTAGTATATTACAAATCTACACGTTATTACAAAAAATATGGAAATGTTTATCAAATATTTGTCATTATGTTGAAGTGGGATATCTACCGGGTGCGTCTCAAAAGTGGCTCACCTCTATAACTTTTTATTTTTTCAGTTAAACAAACGAGATTTGGTATGTTAGTATATGACATAAATTAGGATTAATTGCCGGTGTTTGGTGTTTGGTTCGGTATATTTCTACTTTATTCGAGAGAAAATGACACTCTCAATAAAATGACATATCATATCATTTGAATACCAAACCAAATCAATCCTAATTTATGTCATATACTAACATACCAAATCTCGTTTTTTTATCTGAAAAAATAAAAAAATTATAGGGGGGTCCACTTTCGAGACGCACCCGGTATATGATGCTCCATGGCTGTATTAAGGTTTTCAAGTTCCTCACTTATTTTACAAATACTGTGTATATTATTTTCTAAAATCTGTTATTACATTTTTAATTGACTATATTTTTATATCCATATATCCCCTATCCTATTAATATAGGATAATAAAAAATTAAAAAACTACAAAATAGAAAGTTATAATTCATATTTCAAATTTCTCGAAGATAAGTGCATGTTTGTTTACAAGATCCTACACACGTCTGCATCCATTTATCACCAAGCAAGAGTGAAGACATTGTATCTAATAATAATTGAGTTATCGTATTTATTGGGGCAATGGATGAATTGCCTCGACAAAAATAAATTGGATGACAAATCGTTTAACATAAATAACAGAGATTATTGGTTGTTAATGTAGGAGGTTTTTAAAAGTTTGATTAACATAATTACAGACTTACTGCCTTGTGACATATTTCCTCTGTTTAATGAATGATATTGAACTTAAAAATGAAAGGTTGAGAATGAAATATTATTGAACTTGTCCTAATAACGTAGACTTGCGAGATTGGGACATCATTTTTTGATAGAATGAATATTACTTAAGATTCCATTTCAACTAGTCCGAAAAAGTAGCAAAATAAGCGTTCAGCATTTAACGTTTTATGTAAAACTGGCTCAGTATTTTTACACAAATGAAGAAGGAAATTAAAGATAAAGGATTATACTATATCCGTATTTTAGAACAATTTAAGACAACTTTTTTATTTTTAATTACAGTGATATATAATTTATATGGTTTTGTAACAAATTGTTCGCTATTTTATGGCAAATACTGAAGCTCTGCAAACCTTAATTAAACCTTAATTAAAACACGTGTGTTTGGAATTTTGGGTGTGTCTTAACACGACAGATTCGGACTAAGCCTTAGGCAGATTCCTGAAATATACTGTATATTTCCTTTCTCCACACAGTCGCTTTACCCGACCCCTGAGAGCAACCCGAAAGTACAGCGTAATAGACAGATCAGTATTTTATTTGGAAAATACGGACTACATTCCAACATCAGAAGTGGCATAGGTCTACTAACACTATCACAAAAGTTTTAAAATGCGCCAATATGCCATATGGTGTGTGAATCTGGAAAATGAGATACAATCATAAAGCAACAAGACCAGCAGAGTTAGCAAATAAAAAGGAAGATTTACATTTTTTTTTGGAAAAATAACATACTTTCTACTTCAAAAATGGAAAAATCCAGAGCTGTTACTATCTGCCAGATGCAAAATGTAATATTTGCCAAAATAGGTTTATTTAGTGGCTATGTTGATGCAAAAAGTAAATCAATACTAATTAAGTTAGGAATATAAAAGTTTTAGTTGCTTGTTTGTGATTTCGAAGTACTAATTGAAATTAATAACACAATAAATTAAATTTGTAGAACAATCAACTAAAAATAAAAGGTTCAGATTAATTAATGGTAATGATATAATTATAAGACAGCCTGTATAACGATGAAAAAAAAAAGTTATAACTAAAATTATATTTTTATTGTTAAAACTCAAAAGAAAAATGGATTATTTGATTTCATAAATAGAATTATTGATATTTTTTTCGTATGTTTGAGAGACACTATCAGTTTTGTAACTCTATCAAAAACATGGTGAGGGTTTAAAAGGTCGCCTAGGTCGGGTGGGTTAATTGATAGTTTGGGTTTCGAACGTTTATCGCATACAGTAACATTTGTTAAAGATGTAAAATTCTATTTTTTACTCGGTCTTCTTGTAATTTATTAACTCAACTGAAAATCTTATCGCCAACAAGAGCGGCGTATCCTTGTTAGATAATCCAGGGATGGGTCAAAACAAGCGTTAATATATTTCCTACATTTTGTATGTTTACTGCGTAGTAATATAGGTAACATGCAGGTAATAATACAGGTAAGTAGTAGACAAGGTATAAAAGAATAAGTGTACCGAAAAAATTATAATCCAAGGATGGGTCAAAACAACGTCAATATATATACATACTACGTAGTAAATTTTATCACGTAGTAAATTAGGTGTAAGTACAAGGTGTAAAAGAATAAGTGTAACAAAAAAAAATTCAGGTTTTAGAAACAAAGTTTAATAAATGTTTCCTTCATCATATTCATATTCTCTCTCTCACAACCCTGAGAGATAATACAGACCGTGGATATCTTGTCATGTTTCCAGATTTTTACGCTACTTTATGTGTTTTCTATCCTCCCTGACAAATTTTTATAATTTACGATTTTTTTTTTAATTTCTATTTCTTCTTATCTTTGTTTTTTATATTTTACGGTTTCCAAAAGTATTCGTTATATTCCACAGACAATAATTATTCAGACATATTGAATTACATAGAAAAAATTAGTCGGTTGCTTGTATTTAATGATAAAATTTTGAAATTTATTAGTCTTAGATCTCTGTAAATTTATTTCCTGAACTAGAAGTGATAGTGTGGATGAGTCCTAATAATTTGTAAAATAATGATAATATTCAAGACAGTCAAGATTCGAACAGGGATTTATCTCAGTTTGGTAGATAACATGTAGTTTATGCTGTTTTGATATTAAAAAAAGATGTTTCCAGAGATTTAAAAAAATATATTTTGAAACCGATGTAAAATATGACAAACGATGCAATATAATTTGTATTCACTACATAGACATAGACATAAAAAGAATGTTTTGTGATGAAAATAACTATAGCCATGTATAATTATTCTTGTAAATAAATGAATACTATAATATGATATAAATTTGCATTAAATTTAAACAATTTTAGTTGGATTCGCTCATTGAATTAAATTTTTTTAAACACAATTGAGCTAATGAATTTAAAAAACACATAAAGGGCCATAAGCTTTTAATTTTCTAGTGTTTTTATTATCTGCGCCATAAAACCTAGTCATTCAGAAACACGCAATGCGTTTGGTTTACGAGTTTTTATAAAAGTGGATTTTTTTATTTCATGAACTAGGTATTCAAAAGCTTTATTTAATTTCATCCATTATACATTAATCATTAATTTTGAAATATAGAAAAACGTAAATAATATATATACCACTGTATGCAGTTTCAACTCTTCAAAAATATTTTTTGGCTATTTCGCCACTTTCACTGTAAGGAAATATTCAAAATAAAATAGTTTCTAATAGATATATCTATTAGAAACCGCTGACGTTCTGTTAAAATTACATTTTATTGAAAATAAAATAAAAATAAAAAAGTAAAAAAAAACAAAAAATTAAATAAAAATAAAAAAGTAAAAAAAAAACAAAAAAATTAAATAAAAATAAAAAAAATAAATAAAAACAAAAAAATAAAATAAAAAACAAAAAAAAATAAAAAATAGAAATAAATAAAAATAAAATGTGGCGAAATGGGCGGATGAGGATTTGTACTACTTATAAAGCAAACATTTAAATAGATTTTCCCCCTCTACAGCTACTTCCATACAATTCTTTGCAGGCAAATGTTTCCACAGATGAAGTTCCGCGTGTCCGGCCTGGACCTCAAGGCCAAGTATATCCTCCTGCTGGACATCGTGGCCGCAGACGACTACCGCTACAAATTTCACAACAGGTGACCCATTTTCACGGCTCATTTTAATACGTTTTTTTCTCGCAATTGTTACAGGCGCATGTTTCCTGCTTATAAAGTGCGGGTGTCGGGTTTAGACAAAAAATCCAAATATATCCTACTGATGGACATCGTCGCCGCTGACGACTGCCGATATAAGTTTCATAACAGGTTAGAATTATTGCATTCATTTCTCCTATTTTTATCTCCCATCATTTGTTGGTGTTTCGGTTTTGCTCTCTACCTCTCTTTTTGTACATAATTTGGGACACCCTGTACAGTGGTTTCGTTTTATTTTGTCCGCATTTTAACTGGCTATAACTTTTAAAGAAGGCGTCCATTTTTTTTCAAAGAGACCGAGACTTCGAGGCTCTTTTCTTTTTAATTTGACTCTAATTATTTTTTCTTGGAGATACCGTATGATCGAAAAAAAAGGCGTCAAAGACGGCTGAGAAATAAAAATCGATGGTAATTTAGGTGAGGTCAATCTCTATATAAAAATAAATTAGAACCCCTCCTTAGGGCCTACTGGCTGTAAGCACCATTCTAAATAGATAAGAGTACCGGCCAAGTATTTTAAAATTATGGCTAGGGCTTGATCTCTCCAAAATTATCGTTGATTATCATTGCCAGCCATCTTTGACGCCTTTTTTTTCGATCGTATTTTTACACGTTTATATCAAATTTAAATAAATCTGTTAATCAGAAAAAAATGTGATATCTAATACATTTTTAATATTACAGGGTGTCCCATTTAAAAATTAAACTCGATTGAAAACCCTATATAATTTGGGTTTTTAATGAATGTTCTATGTCGAAAAACAATAAAAGTTATGGTCAGTTAAGAGTGGGACTAAATAAAATGAACGCACTGTACAGAAATTTTGTTGTATATTAATTTTTTTGTCGATTGAAAATAGAAATCAGGTGTCATTTGCAGTGTGTACCTACGATTAAGAAAATACAACAATTTTTTTAAAACATTTTTTTACACACTATGTAGAGTAAATTCATATCCTTCCTTCAGAGAGCAAAATCGTAAAGAAAAACATCTACGGGTGTTTTGTTTGAAAATTTTCACCCGCTCAAAATCATCAAAAAACCATAAAAAACGAAATTTTCAAAAGAAAATGCCCGAAAGATTGTTTTTTGAGAAAAGCACGAAGCATGCGTTTTGTAGTAATTTAAACTGTAATTTCCCGTTTATTTTTTATTCCTTTTTGTTTAGTGTAAATAATGTTTCTTAATCCGTTTTTTTAATGAAAATATTACGCGTGAAAGTATACATCGAACTAACCTGTATATAGTATTTCTTTGAAAGCACGGTTGATTGTAATTAATATAAAATGCATAAATAGCAAAATTAAGAAGAATGTACCAATTATGTTTTTTTTACCTATCTAAAAATACAAATGCATGATATTAATTCATAATATATCTATAATTTTCGTAAAACTATTCTCGTACCGAATGATCGAAAAAAAACAGCGTCTAAGACGGCTGGGAAATGATAATCGATGATACTTTCGGGGAGGTTAGTCATTTAATAAAAATTGACACAAATTTTTAAGTAAACCATTTAAAAATCATTTTTACTCAATACAAAATTAACCAACATTCTTAAGGCCATCTAAAAATTAAGAAAAGTGCGGGCTAAGTAAATGACGTCTCTAGGGCTTGCCCTCGCCAAAATTATCATCGATTATCATTTCCCAGCCGTTTTTGACGCCGTTTTTTTTCTCGATCGCATTGTATTTATAGAAAAATTGCCTAATCCAATACATTTTCCGATTGTAAATATTTTAAGTTAATTTTAAATCAACAATTAATTCAATCAATATCAAACTAACTTCTAATAACTAATTATTTTTATTCTATAATATCTAAAATTAGAGACATAATGTTTTTTTTTTGTTTAAAAATTAAACCGTCTTTTTTATTAAAATTTTTGGTTTTTGGTATTTATTTTTATTATTGTTTCCCTTCAGCAATGATCTTATTTCCTGAATCTTTCAGTCGGTGGATGGTAGCGGGAAAAGCTGATCCAGAAATGCCCAAAAGGATGTACATTCATCCAGATTCCCCATCTACCGGAGAGCAGTGGATGCAGAAAGTTGTGAGTTTTCACAAACTGAAGCTTACGAACAACATCTCGGACAAGCACGGCTTTGTAAGTATTAATTTTATTATTTATTTCATATTTATTTATTTATATGTTTGCAAGCACTATACATTAACCTATGAACAAATGTAGGATTTGCAAAAATAATGACAATAATTTTTTTTGGTCCACTATTAATATATTATTTCATTAGGCCTTTTTTATAAAAATGGATATGGCGGATTTTGCATTTTGACGCCTTATTTTTAAACCTAACTCTGGGAAAATAAGCATTTTTAGAGTCATGATCTAGTACTAAAAAATTGTTTTCTTTTACCAAACCACTTTAGTTCATTTTTTTTTCTTATTCCGCATATTCCCTACAACGAAATATCTTCGACAGTGTTGTTCGCATCTCCTTTCGACACACCCGCGCATTACCATATTTTAATATTTAAATACGCAAGATCATGGAGAGATATATATGCGGCAGGAGGGTGAGATACTCACTTCAATCGCATTAGACTGGAGATGATAGCAAAGGCTCCCCAACGGGGGTGAACTGGGGCTCTTCCCTCTCCTTTAGAGATAGAGTCGTGCCCCCCTTTTCGAAGGGAAGGTTAGAGCGCCCCCTGGGGGACGACCTACTAAAAGCGATCTGTAATTTTCAGATGCGTCTGTCAATTTTTGTATAGTGAGGCTGTATATTGTAGTTTCATCAATAATAGGGATATATCTGTATATTATACGTAATCAATTAGATATAAATCCGTGTGAGATTTGTGTGTATTAAAATCTTTGAGTTTGAAAACGCCATTATAATGCGTAGAATAATAGTTATTTTTTTATACAAGACGATAAAATGGTATTTTATCGTCCACCGAAAAGATTAATTGAATTGAATTAATTTGGGGAAACGATTCAAAAATTATTATTTCAAGGAATTTATTTGGAGTAGAAAAAATATTCTACTGGGTTGGCGTTGGTTTCTATGTAATTTGACAAATAAGTAAAGCTGTCTCTTTAGTTGTCAGTTTTGAGTCAATATTTTTTAATTCTCTTTCATGTCGATTGCTGATTGAATTGGAGCCAGAAATGGCTCAAAACAAAACGTTTTATCGAACAAAGTTTTATCGCAAAAACAAGGAATCTAAGCCTTCGAGGTGTATATGTTCTGAATCTACATAAATGTCCTACAAATACTGAAAGATTTTCATAATTTTATCACTATGTTTACTATCTTCTTAACCAAAAGACCTTTGAAAATGTTTTAAAAATAGCCAAAAAAATGGTTATTTTTTCGAATTTTTCCATACATAAAACTGCTGCTATTTACCGAGCTATTTACTAATTAAAAGACGTAGAAAATTCGGCAGGAGGAAATATAATATGCTGTCAATATAAAAATAAATGATTAGTATGTAGAATACAAACTTCTTTACTTGATTATAAATATCTTATTATTTAACAAGTTAAAAATTTATTTATAATAAACAGCGTTTTTTATCGCTTTAAATGTGGGAATTTTTCGTGTATTACAAGTTTTTTTCGGTCAGGTTCAAAGGAACTGTGAACGCAGAGAATGTTTTCAATTCGGAACGCAAACACTTCTTGAATTAAATTTACATTTAACTAACGAAGATCGAACCGTTAGATTCCACAAAACGAACAGGTGTTAGTTATTGTAATTTCCTCGTTATAGTTCTATGGTTTCTTAAACTTCCTAAAGCCTTAAATTGAAAGAATTATATTTTTTTTTATTTAGTGAAATATGTGTTAATAGCTTAAACTGCTTTTATTTACTAAATCAATAGGCGTAGAGTAAGAACATATAGGTGATTGTGGTTTTACTAGTACAGTTTTAGTTGTAGAAGTTTTCAAAAAAACTGTCTCACAAAAAAAAATTCTCACAAAACTGAGGATATGGATAAAACTGGATATTATGAATCTACATAAAATTTCCTACAAATACTGACATTATCATAATTTTATCACTATGTTTAGTATTTTTCCAAGACCTTTGAAAGTGTGTAAAAAATAGTCAAAAATTTTGATCATTTTTTCGACTAAATTAATTTATTATCATATACTATTGTGGTCTTATTTAGAGGACAGTATTAGTTTTAGGAAAAGTTTTAACCATCACCAGAAATAGCTAAAAACAAAGGATCAAAAAATTAATTTTCTCACAAAAAACAAAGAATCTATACCTTCAAAGGTATATATTGCGAATCTACATAAAATTTCCTACAAATTTTGACATCTTTATAATTTTATAACCATGTTCACTATTCTTTTAAGACCTTTTAACCCGAACTGGGCAATTTTTCGACTTTTTTTTCATACATAATATAGTCATGAAAATTGCCAATGTCACCGATTTCTGGTATTCTTATTATTTCTTAATATTTTAAATTAAAAGTGTTGAAAAATTATGAAACCTCGTGCTAACACATTGAACATATATCTATTTAATTTTACTGACAGGCATTGAACCATAGCAAAAAAGTGTCAATTCGTCATACTCTGCTCTAGTTTGGACGATAAGAAGATCAGAAAGGTTAGATTGTCGAAAATTAACATTACATGTCCTCGTGTGTGTGTACAGGGTGTCCAGAATCCGAAAAATACCAGGGGAGTCAACATAACAAACACAAACAAATCTTCTAACGGTATTTCACAGACAGAGATGATTAAAAAACGAAAATAACGACTTTTTGGAGGAAAAAAGACAGTCAAAAAGACCGTCCGAAAGCTTAGTAGAATTTATGTGTATGGTTCGGCACAAAGAACCAAAAACCAAAGACAGTAATGGTATAATAAAATTTTTACAAGCACCCAGCTACGGGGGGTGGCTTTTGACCGAGCCGGTATACAGACAACCCGATTTAAGGTCTACAGGTGAACTATCAGGACGTTATTTATTGGTAGGAGTGCGCCCGTCGACACTGTACGTCACACAGAGAAGGCCTAGGACTTTTCTTCGTCTTAAAATTGATCAAGTCACGTCATGAATTCAACTGAATTTGAAAAAATGTTCTGTGTTTATACATTTTTGCTTTGGTTTAAAAAACAAGATTTTAAATAGATAGAGAATATCTTAACCATCTGAGCAACAAGCACAAATTAATGAACTGAATAATTTAGCCGACCATACCAATAGGTTTTTTACCAAAATTTTAAAAAATCGTAACTCCAAAATTACAGTAGCTATAGCGAAACACGGTTTTCAAATTAAGATTAGGAATAATATTTGCAACAATACGTGCCTCTTGGCGCCAATTTTTTGGAATAATACGACTTAAAATAATGGCAGCCAACAGTTTGTTTTTCAATTTTTTGAGATTCACCAAAACTAGATTTTTCAGGGTTTAGGTGTACTATCTTTATGATTTTTTATCCATTTTTCAAGTATTTTTGCATAGCAGTTGTTCTTTATTTACCAAAATTCGAAAAAACTGGACAAAATGCATCTAGAAAGTCTGCTCCTCATTTGTTTGTTAACTTTTAGCATCACAATTTCTTTATCGAATCAGATAACACGTAGAAGCCCCCCGGAGGTCAAACCTTCACTTCCACATACACACGGGCCTACAATATTACCTATGGCCGGTTCTCCCCTGCGCGTCCCCTCACCGAGGGCTTCCCCTCGCCAAAAGGGCACAATGCAATACGTATTACATCACGCCCAAAGGCATAGGGGGCGGGGCACATACCGAGTACGACGTGGATGACGTAAAGGAGCGCTACACGCGGTATATATTATGCATTTGAATCGGTAGGGGGAGTTGGTCTATACGTGTGTGGATGATGTGAGACAATATCTTCAATTTTTTTGGGTTTAAAGGTGTAGCTCGTTTATTAATCTATTTACAGGGTGTATTAAAAGACATGTGCCATCTTTTGTGAGGAGATTCCTCGAGTAAAAATAAGATTATTTTTTTATATATCAACATAAGTCCAATTCTGCTTTATTTCGTAGCTACTAAAGTGTTCTTTTTTTCGATTTATTATAATTTTCTTCCAAGTGGTTTTAGCGATTCGATTGAAATTTTGAGGGTAGTAAAACTATTGTAAGTGTCACGTATTTCAGAATTTAAAAGGTGTCGACATATTTACCAGGGACGTACACAGAAAAAAAAACATGTGGCGCCGCTGACTTTTTTTTCTCTTGTTAGCAACATTGTGTAAGCCGATTAAAAGTTGTATCTTGATATTATTATATTACTATAAAATTATATACAGGCTGTCCCAGAAATAAGTGCAAATATTTTAACTGGTAGTATAGTTCAACCCCAGAAACACGCCGATGAGGGTTTTTTCGCGAAAAAAAATTTTTGAAAATTCGAAATTTTTTGAAAAAATGTTTTGAAATTTTTTTAGTTTTTTGTTAAAAAACATAATTTCTTGATAATATGGCAACATAGGTATTAGATTAAATTTACAAGAAAGAAAATCCAGAAAAGATCCGGTGGTTCTCAAAATTTTAGCAAAAAATCTTTTTTTTTTGGAAATTTTCACTTATAATATCACAAGAATTTGTGATATTATATTTGTTGAAACTTATAATATCACATTTTAGGAAAATTATCCCTCGTCTTCGACTCGGGATAATTTTCAAAATATTCGTGCCCTCAAAAAAATTTCCAGGAATAATTTAAGCTTGCGTGGTATTCGGTAAGAAAATTTCACACCTAAATTTGAAAAAAAAACATTAATCCAACATGACATTTTAAAATAATTTCAATTTGTTAAGTTGGCCAAGGTATTGATGTTTTTGACATATTATGTGTTTTGTCATTTTTGTTTGCGATTCTGTCATTAAGCTATTACTAGTTTTAAAACGTCTGTACGTAGAGTAAGAAGTGTATAGCGAAATGTCGCGATTTGGAAAAGTAAACCAACAAGTCATTAAAGAAGAAATTGAAAATATAAAACCAGATAACACCCGAAAATCAAAATCAAGTGTATGGAAACAGTTTGTTGAATTTTGTGATGAAAAGTCGTATAATATTCATGAGTGTATGAGTGTAGTACAGCTGGCTACTATACTGGAGGACTACGCATTT